CGGGGCCGCGGGCGGGGGGCCGCGGGCGGATGCTTGCTGACGCCCCCGATGATGTTTTCTGCTGTGATGACTCATGGTGTTCTCTCTTGTCTTTAGATACCAGCCTGTTGATATCATTCAACCAACCAATCATGTATTGCCAGCCTCATTCGGGGATTCTGATTGGTACTTTGTCACAGGCATCTCTCTTACCTCCACCAATGAGTCCTCACGTAGAAAACCACCACAGCATGACCTGCAGAAACAGGGAATGCCAGGTGAATATTGACTCTTTCTCCTCCGTCTTTGTGGTACTCACAGGCCCACGGGCCTCTGTGTCTTTTTTTTTTCTCTCTCTCTCTCCTCTAGATCACGAACTGCTCAGGCAAGAGCTGAACAACCGGTTTTTGGTTCAGAGTTCGGACCGGGCCGCTGCCTCACTTGGCCCGGTGCCGCTGCTGAGAGCGGAGTTTCACCAGCACCAACACACGCATCAGCACCAACACACCCACCAGCACACATTCACTCCTTTTCCATCCAGCTTGCCCCAGACGCCGCTCATGCCGCCCTCTGCACCTCCCATGGTGCGTACCCCAGCCCAAAATGTGAGGATAAGTAGAGCATCTCTGGTCAAAAAGCCTAACCCACTCTTGTCAAACAAAACCCAGTCCTCTTCGTTTCAGCCAGGCGTGCTGTCCCTGCCCCTCCGACCTGGAGGCCTGGAGAGACGGGCCCAGCACTCCCAAAGGGACCCCCTTTCCATCCAGAGCCTCCACTCTGAGCTCCCAGGTCCCCCACGCTGCCACCCATGAGCAGATACCGCACCCATGAGACAAGTCCAGAGTCCCTTCAGTTGCCCTTTTTGTGTGTCCTGCTGTGTATTTCTATCCCCCCTTCCCCAGAGCCAGGTGCCATGTCACACCAAAACACACCAACAAGGACACCACAAGGCCAGTGTCCTCCAGTACCAAACACAGTCCCCACAGCTGTTGGCTATAGGGCAAACCATACTTGCTTACCCAGAGCTCTCACCATAGTGCAGCATCTCATCTGATATGAGTTTTGTCCCTTTTCCTCCTAATTCCCTAATTTATATTGATTTTGGCATTTATTATTTGATTACATCAACAAGCACTAATTTGTGTGTGGCTGGTTCTTCTCGTGGGTGAGACCCTCCTGGCCACGTTCTAAGCGTTAGCTTTTTGCCATTGAATTTGCTTGTCACACAATGGGACTTTGCTGCAGCTGTTACAAAATTGTTAGAGATCTGCTACAAATGGATTTTGTCAGTACTTTAAAAGACACTCTCTCCCCATTTCTGGCAATTACTCTGTGAGATTGAAAAAACAAGATTCAGCTTTTTTTCCCCCCCTCTCAGTTTCACACTGTGTCCAAAATGTAGAAACAGCCCTCTTCTGCTAAGGCCAGCAAAAGCCAGGAGTAACAACAAAAGCAGCCTTTGGGAAGAACTACCAAGAACTCAAGGAGCATAATGTTTTTCTCACTTTTCTTTCCCACTGCTCACTGCCCAATGACATTCTTGGGTTGTAATCTGCTTAGCAGTGAGACAATTAAAAGAAATATCATCCACCCAAAATCCAGCCCCAGGTGTTTGCTCAATGTACTCATATGTAAACACCTTCCCCTCTTTTCTTGGTTTGTGTAAAACAATCTTGGAACTTTTTTCAGAAACCTCCTGTTATTTAAGAATCCTGATATCTGATCCTGCCAACAGCTCCCTTCCCTCCCACCCGTGCCCGTTGGTCTCAGCCTTCATAGCAAAAACAGCTTGCAAGGCTCTTTTGTTATATTTCACTCACATCTTCTTATATTCCAGTAGATCAGATCTGCTAATCTCAACACCAGAGAAGAGTGTTGAAATTTACAGCTGCATGTGTTTGGTAATTTATGGTATTTACACTGGAGGGGACATGGCTCCAGTAATAACTGTAATTAATGAAATTACAAATCTACTCTCCTGCACAGAGGAGTGTGAAACAGCAGCTGACTTGCCAAATAAGCAGCTTTTCATAGGGTCCTACAGCTCCCTTCCCTGCCTTCTTCCCCACTCCCTCCTCCCCAGCAGAATGTACATACTGTTCAAAAATGCAATGTATATAAGCTTTGGTTTTGCTTCCAAGGTGGTACAGGACAAATGGTCATAAAAATAAATACGGGGCACAGACTGCACACATGGAGGTGTTAAAACCCCATGCTGCAACGGAAAAGGTTAACAGTCAGCTTTTCTCTGGGGCACTCTTTCTTTTGCAGGGGGGGAGGAATATGTAGAGATTTGTGCATCTAAAGCAATTAATCTCTTTTCCAAATGATTTTGGCACTTACAGGAACCCGGAAAACAGGGAATTGGTATTGGTTGCCCCACAGTAGGTGTTGGGGTCTTAATGGAAAACATTCCCTACCTTCTAGTCTGTGGTCTAGTTCAGTGCTCCGGGGCAGATCGCAGATCTAGACCTGGAGCTGAGCTCCCCAGCGTTTCGCCGTGCTGCAGATACCTGGGCTGCTCTCTTCCTAGTGAAGGAACCTCTTCACGTAGTGCCTGCAAACAGGGTTCTGCAGGGAGACTCAGGGCTCAGCGCCTTTCCACCTCTGTTAGCTTTGGGAAATCAGTCAGCTCCCCGATGAGCGAGTGTGGAATCACCAGTCAGTTCTGCTCTGTTAAAATACCGTAGAAACGGGCCATGATTATTTGTCTGTGTTTAAATCATGATGTGTCCACTACTGCTGAAACCAAACTCACCTATTTCTTCTTTTTCTCTTTTCTTTCCAGTTTGACAAGTATGCTCCCAAATTAGACAACCCTTACTTTCGACATTCCAACGTGAGTGCTTACCTTTCTAGGTGGTGTCTTTGTAAATGGTTCTGCTTGCATTTCTTTTGCTTGTTTTCGATTGATTGGTACTGTTTTGATTCATTTGTTGCTAAAGCTCTTTTTCCATCTTGATTGGGTTTTTTTTTTTTTAAGGTACAAAATTTTCTTTGGGCTTTTTTTTTAAAAAAAAATCTTTGTCTACTGCATTTTTGCTGCTGCGGCTCTGTATTGCTGTGCCTGGGATGGCAGGGAATGCGCAGAGATTGCTAAATCGGTGGTCATTGCAGTATCTTTGCAGCTGGTGCTTCTCACAGTGCAGCAGCCCGGAGTGCATGGCTCTTTCACAAGATTTTGCTCAGGTCACAGGAGTAAGTCAGACTGGTGGTTTCTTCCTGGTGCTCCCCACTGCTCCAAAGCACAAAAACTATATGTTTTGGGACTTGTAAAACTGCTGTATGTGCTCAGGAGAGGCCTAAGCAAAACTTAACCCAACCTGCACAACTACAAGGTGGTGTGCATGTTGCCTGTTGTTAGTGTGCAATGCAGCATCTTGTGGTTCTTTTTTGCTTTGAAAAATTAAATCAGGTCACATTGCAAAACAGGAGCAATTTGTTTGCTACTACAGAAAAATTCAAAGTTAGCCAAAAGTGAACATAAAACCCAAATTACTCCAATTCCTTTAAAAATGGTGAATGCTCTGTGCTTCCTGCGATAGTTGCACAAATTTTTAAGACACACGTGTTCAGCACTATCTATAAAATTCATCAGATGAGTGCATTTTCTAAGTTTTGGCTTTGCTCTTAAAAATTTTGAAAGCAAATTTAGTGTGTGTTTTCACTGTGACACTCATTCAACACAGTACTATTTTTGTATGTGCCAGGCTTGGCACCTGCCTCCATTATTGTTCAAGTTGTCCTGTGACATAAGCATCTCTTTTTCTTTTGTAGTTCTTTCCAACCTATCCTCCAGCAATGCCTGGAATGCCACCCATGCTTCCACATTCAGGTCCCTTTGGGTCACTTCAGGGAGCATTTCAACCGAAGGTACAAACTTCTTCTTCTGAAGGCTTTGTTCTTTTGCTGTGAGAGAAACTGTATTCAGAGTCACGTCTCTGGTGATTTTGTAGCACATAATTTAACTGGCAGAAGTGCAGTGGGGTTGGAAGTGATCACCCCGCAGAACTGTGAGCATCCTCTGCACAAAGCAGCCAGCACTTTAGCAGAAATTTTCCCTTGGCACTACAGATCATTCCTTGGGAAAGAATATAGAGGTTCACTTGGGAGGTCAACTGAAACTGGAGGAGAAGCATACAGTCAAATGCATTATTTGATTGAAATATTACAGCTAATAACAGACCAATGAGTCCCAAATCATTTTATAAATTTAATGGTCTGAGATTGCAAAAGATAGACCGTGTTTATTCTCAGGAAAAAAAATGAGAAATTGACTGTACAAGTGTGGGAACAATAGGGAGAGACTGCTATAAATGGGTAGAGCAATTGGAAGGAGCTGAATTTTTATTCTCAGCTCCAACACTGTCTGACCTTGGGCAAGTCGCTTAAATCTTCTGTTCCTCAGCTTCCTCATCTATAAAGTTATCTTGCAGTGGGTTTTATAAGGGTTGATTAATGCCTGCAAGCTTCTTTGAGATAGTGTGTTTGAAAGGTGCACTGCAACTGTAACGTATCATTACGAGACGCGCTGATTGGCATTTGGAAATGTTGCCATGATAACCACCATTTTTTATTAATTCTGTGGTGTGTACTGCTTTTTTTTTTCCTCCCAGACTTGTTCTTTTTTTATTAACTATTTTTAAATGTACAGAAAATAGAAATATGCATTATATCTATATGCATTATATTTATATAGCATTTGTTTGAAAATGGGGCATTTACTCCATTTGTAAGTTGACATATCCTTAGCTTCCTTACATACTGTGATTTTTAGAGATTTCTTATCTTGAACTGCATTTCCACGGAGCTCTGCTACTGTGTTAGAAGCCTGGAAGGACCAGCACTGTGGCCAGGCTGCTTCTGTTTGCGTTGGGAAGGTCATTTCCGTAACCATACCAAGCAGGGCTCTGGCGTTTGCTTCCCTCAGCAGTCTCACTGACGTCAGTGGAAGTCAGTAATTAGCAACTACTGCAAATAGGGCCTCTTACAACCTTCCCACTTAACTTTTTTAATGGAAGCTGGAGTATTTCCTCAGTGCCCATTGAATCCCTTAGATTATTTTATTTTCTGGATAGATTACAAATAGCAAAGTCTCTAAATGGCTTTTCTCAGTAAGAGTTCTGGATGTAGTGGCTACAGGCGTAGAGGAGGAGCAGTTGCATCTAAGCAGAGTGAGCAAGAGGAGCAGGACGTAGCTGTCCCTTGATGGAGTTTGTCCACCTGTGTTAATTGTTGCTATTCTTGCAAGGGATGCCAGGGGGTCCCTACAGACCCCAAGTTGTCAGGGCATGAACTTGAATTTCCAAGAAAAAGAGTTGCACAAATAAGGTGGAATTGGCAAAATTTTGCTAATGTGAAGATAGGGTTCAGTTTTGCCATAAGGCTACTGTTAATGGGGAGCTTCTGATACACCGATAGCGTGCTCTTCTGGTTTTCATCCTCATTACAGAACTTTAGATACCATCTCACTGTAAAATACCATTAGGCCAAAGAGAAGCACTTATGAAACGAGAAAGAAAAAGCGAGCACAGACCCTTTACATTTTTAAACAGTTCTTAGTGCTGTATTATAACTAGCTGTTAATTGATTTTAATGATAGATACATAGAACATTTGCTAGCTTGAGTTTAAGCGGCGCAAGGTCACACTCTGGTGCCATGGTTAATCACTAACATCACTTGATCTCTGGACAGTGCTGTATTCACATGCAGTCTAACATCGAGAAAAAAGAGGAATAGGTTAAAAAATTGATCTGCCACTTTGGCACATTATTTTCCAGTTTCCTAGAGGAGACAGAGCCGAACTACTGGGCAAAGCCACTCTAGTTGTCGTTACTGCACCACTTTTCCATGCTCTCTCCCTCCCAGGCAGCTTGACTAAAGTCTTCATAATCACTACAGACCTGATGATTCGGTTTTGGCACACTGAATCCTGCACTTGCTTTCCAAAGCAGAGGTCTTGGTTTTGTTTTTCCCCTTCCCATGCCAGTTGCCTACAGCTGTGCATGTAAATCCACTGCACATAAATCCAGGCTGACGGTAAACTTCTCAGTGAGTTTCCCGAAGGCCATTTCTCACAAGCTAAGAACTTGAAAAGGTCAGAAGTATTCAGTTTACTTTGCTGGAGGAAGCATTCACATCTTTCTCCAGGGGATGAAGGGACAGGATGACACCATGCTATTAACATGTTGTGATCTTAAAGCTCTTGCCTGTATGATAGCTGTAACTTATTTGCCACCTTATATATACCTCAGCTGTCAGACAGGCCCTGAGAGCACAGATCTGCCTGGGGAGTTTGTTGACTTACCTACGCACATACACACACACACAAGAATTCTCTTTTTAATGAGCCTGGAAGTTACATTATGTAGCCTTAGACAAATTAAAACCTATGTTTCCTCCCACACCCATTAATTTACTCATTCCTTGTACAGTTTGACTATTGGAAATCTACTATAATTTGACCTAAAATGTGAGTGAAATAATCTCTTGGGGAATGAGGTTTAACCCCTCTGCACTCAGCTGCACAGAGGCACCAGGTGCAGTTGCTCTGGGAGTGGGAGATGGATGAATGCCAGAGTGAGAAGATGAACGAGTTCTTGGGGATCATCTAGGACAGGGCAACAGGTGGGATCTGGAGGAGGAGGAGGAACAGGGATTCATTCAATGAAGTGTTTAATTCTTGCTGGAAAATGATGGGATAAACAATGCAAAGTATAAAAGACCCACAAGCACCTTCTGAGGTTTCTCATTTTGCCTTGTCGAAGCCAGTAGATGGGCTGTTGCCATTTTTAGCCATTGTGTTATCCAGCCCCAGTCGGAGAGGGGCCATGGGCCAGTAGGTGGAATATGGGACTAGGGTGCTTGAGTTGTTCTGTTCCTGACTGCTGTACTGGCTGCTGCCTGAAACATGGAGGGAGTCAGTCCACCTCTCTTGTTCTTTCTCCTACTGCCTGCCTGTTTTGTCTAAAGAATAAGCTTGGGGGACAGGGACTGCCTCTTCCCATCCACTTGCATACTGCATAGCACAATGGGGTTGTGATTTCATTGGGGCTTAGGGGTGCTGCTGTCATACTGTTACTGCTGCTAAATAATAATAGATGACGCGGTGGTTAAATGCTGTTGGCTGTCAGTAAGAGATAACATTTAGCACTAATGTATCAATATGCGTGTTCCAAACACAGTACAAACATGGACTAATTAATGCTGTTAAGATCAGATAGAGATGTTAAATGTACTGCTGGTATGATACAGTATTATTCACGCTCTATTCTTGTCTTTCAGACTTCAAACCCTATTGATGTAGCAGGTAGACCAGGCACAGTCCACCATACGCTGCTGCAGAAGACTCCAGGGGTAGGCAATAATGTATTACCTTCATTTTAGCTTATCTGGATTTACAGTGAACACAGTGATTGCTCATAAAAAAAAGAGAGCAGCTGGTGAGCAAATTGGCCTTCTAGACTCTGAACGAGCAGTCAGGACAGAAGTTTCTTTTTCTGGTGAGACAACAGTAGCCTCTGCCAGTCAGGAATACAAAGAGATGTATTGACTTCTTTAAACAAAGTCAGAGGGAAATGGGGCAGGAAACCCCTTCAAGGTCTTTCCCCTAAGCGTTGCTTGGAGAGTAGTTTTACACACTCCATTTCAGAATGATTAGAAAGTTCAGAAAAGCACTGGCACTGTACAGTTGCTGGCATGAAGCTGCTTTGTTTATCATAAAATTATGCTGAGTTCAGTGCAAGGAATGAAAGAGAAGTTTTAAGCCTCCTTTAAGCCTTTTAGGTTTCCCATGTCACAGGGGACTTCTCTGGAACAGTGCTTTCTAAATGCTTCTGCTTGTTCAGAGGAAGTAAGTTCCCCACCTTTCTGTATATTGGCTAGTTTAAGAAAGACTGATTGTTTTATTTCTGCTTTTTCCACAGGTGTCAGACCCTTATAGGCCTCCAGTAAGAGTAAGTAAGGTTTGTGGGGGATTTTATATACATATATATACACATACACACACTTCCTCAATATTGTGCATGTATTTTTGAAATGTAACATGTCCAGTAGGAAACTTCACACTCATCCTTTATTTAAAGCAAAATGTCATCGTTAGCTCTTGAATCCCAATCTTATTTTGCATCCATTTATGTGCACTAATAGTTCACAGTATGAAATAAGGGTCACAGAAGTAAATGACTGTGAACATGGACAGACATTCACCAGTGATCAGATTCATGGTGGCTTAGGTCAGTGTGTTTTATTTGTGCTTCTGATGTTCCACAAAAGCACCCTACAGTAAGTACCACAGCTCTGCTGAGAAACAGTAATTCATTCAGCTGTGGCACTTCACCAGTCCCTGGTGATTGTTTGTCTGTTCCCTTTTCCTCCCCAAATGCAAGTAGCCATAATAACCACGCATGACTTAGCCTGCAGTGCAGCAGGGATGAATGAACAGGGCTCTTTTCAGAAACAGAACTGTTAACTATTAGTTGCTTTCTCTTGAGCATGGCACACTGCTCTTTGCTACCAATTATTTTGGTTTATGAAGGGAGGAGTGCAAGTAGGAAAGAACAAGGCAGGGAATCTCAGGTCTCCATGAAATGAGGAAGATATCCCGCATCCCACATTCTTCCTGTTTGTTTCTTTCTTAATTTAAACGTCATCTGCTGCAGTACAGAAAAAATGCTGATCACCAATTGTGCTGTTTTAGTAATCAGCTTTTCTTATTGCTTAGCTGCCTGTTTGACAGTAAGGGAAATGAAACATTCTATCTGATGTAGATTGCTAACGTATAAATTAATCTAAATTCTTGTGTTTTCCATTGCAGAAACCCGGGAAGTGGTGTGCGGTTCATGTACAGATCGCCTGGCAGATCTACCATCACCAGCAAAAGATAAAGGTAATTCAGACAGTTTCTGGAACAAAGCCAAGTCTTTTGGTTTACAGATTATATTTTAGTGAGCAATGAGCAGGAAGCAGTTACTGTTGGTGATTCTCAAGCTTTCCTGTATTGATTAACTAACACTTTCAATCCTTTACCATTATCCTAGCAAACATAAAGTTTATCTGAGGGCAAAGGAGTTGGGTTGAAGGGTAGCAAAATGAGCAGGAGATACTTGGTGCACAGCCAGAAAGAGAAGAAGAAAGGGAGGGGGAGGGTAATTGTGCCCCAAATCCATCTTTTTTTACAAAACATACATGTTTAATGTCATTTCCCTCTGTACAAGTATCTCCTATAGAATATGGAGTGTTATCCCATTCCTAATGAAATGACTGATACAGTGAAGAACATTACAAAACAGAGCAGGCGAGTAGATTGATAGTTACTCTGTTAGAGGTTGTTGGACTTTCTGCACTGCCATGATGATGGGCAGAGGGAGGGGGTTTAAAACTCAAGAGGTAACAAGGCATAGGTACACGAGGTGCTGTTAACAGGCTCAGAGCTCCCTGTGGCAGGCAGAATAACTGATAACCAGACTTCTGTAGCCTTTTCTTTTTTCATAGCTCCAGCTGTAGCTTTTTTGGTCCCATTAATGAAGACTACTCAGTAGTTAAGTAGGTGCACTGTAATTAGTGCCTCTACAAGTGGTGTGTCCATTTTTTTTTTATAAGCTACTGAGAGGCTGATATGACCTAGGTGCAGTTCTGACCATGCTCACTTCTATAGGGGAAGGATGAAAACAGCCTCCAGAGGAGCTTCATCATTTTCTTTATCCTTCGCCCCTTGACTGGCACTGAGCTGTACTAGCAGCAGGAAGGGCATAGTCTAGCAACATCTCTCTCTTTCCAAACTGGAGAAGCAAAACAGACGAGTCCATCACCCAGCTCTCAAGACTTCTGTTGGCAGCTTTCTGCCTGCAGAATATTTTTTGTTAGGCTGAGAGCACCGACTGATCCTGGGGTGCAGCGCGCTCAGTGTATCGCGTTGCACGCTCCACTGTGTGTGCTGAGGGGCTGAGCGCTCACTTCAGACCTTATCCATGTGGATGAGGCAGGCAGCTGAGAGGCTGTGGAGCGAAATGGCCTTACAGATGCTGTCAGAGCATGACTGCAGTACGTGACCAGAGACACTGCTGTCATTCTCCCTAACTCTCCCTGGCAGGACTAAGCAGGAGTGAGCTTGAACTCCCTCTCTTTTTCTCCCATAAAAAGGAAGTGTATAATGAGATTGTTTTTATATCATTTGACAGCAAATGCAGCTGGATCCCCACAAGCTAGAGATAGGTGGTAAACTTGACCTGTTCAGCAGACCTCCTGCCCCTGGAGTGTTTCCAGGCTTCCATTATCCACAGGATCTTGCCAGGCCTCTGTTTTCTACCACAGGTAAGAGGAGATCATCATTTATTGCAAAAAAACCCCAAACAGTCAGTGTATGTCATGTGTGTCTCTACAGCTATGTATGCCTCAAAGATTGAAGCAGGCCTGATGAAAATGTTCCCATTGCACAGGATTGGAAGTGGCCCCGGTCTCTTCCTTGCTTTTACATTTGCCATATTGTTCTTCTCAGCTCTTCCACTTGCCAAGTTTCTGTTTGCTTTCTGAAAACAAGGGGGTTTTGTAAAAGGAAGACTTCAGTAACAGCATTGAAAATATCACAGAAGGTGTATAAGTCAAGTGTTTGGATTTTAAATATAAAATCCCCCTATGTGTTATAAAGTCCAGCAATCGCTAAGGCTTCAAATGGTATATTGAATTTTAAAAAAAGAAAGAATTAAGTACAGTTTACATTGATCAATTACTTTCCAAGCTGTAGGAGACTGCAATTCTGACATTCTGGTTTTTGAGGTCACTGATACTATTCTTGTTGATTTCCATGTACCAAATGTTGGGTTTGTTCTCTTCCTAGGGCTTAAGTTTCCCCCCTAGACTTGTTCAGATTTTCTTTCTGTGTTTTAAGATGCCAAAGTCTGCCTTCTGTATGTAATTAATAGGCAACTAATGTAATTTTCTTTCCTAACTTTACTCTAGTTTCATGGTGCAGTATTGCATTTCCATTCTAACTCAGTGCAGACATGTTCTGGTTCAGCCTTGGTTCAACCTGTTGAAATTAATGAGGTTGGAAGTGTTACGAACTTTGTCCCAAATGTGACAGAAAAGGAACAAATGAGAATCAAGCTGAAACCTCTGTGAGAACTGAGTTTCATATGCAGATGTCCGTTAGCCCTCAGGAACTCCACTGGTGGTTCAGTTTGTCTTGCTGTCCTTATCTGTGGATGGAAATCCTTAACCAGCACATGCGTGTTTCCAGTACATGTAATCAGTGCTGACAGTAGCTGTACACTGTAGGATGATACCATGTATTTTGGTCTCTGTAAAGGTACTTTGGTAATAGGAGGCCAAGATATTTATTGCATCTCCTTGGGTGCATAAGCACAGCTGATTTACAAACCTCTGACTCTTCTCCTTTGGGACCTGTGTCCTTACCACTGTCTTCAGTTTGTCCTGTTTTGTCATTACAAAAAATCTTGTTTCACGTGTGGTTTTGCTACTGGAGGCTATATTGGGCAGAGTTTACCCTACCAGGCATAAAGGCACCAGTCAAGTTGGTATCTTGAGCTTTTTCCCTTAAAGACACAAGCATAGCTTGCTTCTCCATTCATAAAAGCAAGAGGGGAAATCGTATGGAATAGATACATTAAAGAAGGCAAATTAATAGAAAACTTTCAGTAGAGATAAACAGTCTTACAGCAAGTTGTCTGTGAGTATATTAATCACAAGAGCCATCACACGGTAAATCTAGGTAAAGAGTGCTGTCAAAGTGAACAAACATTGCAGCAGTAATATATAGGTGAATAAATCTTTTACTCTGCAATATCCGAGGCATTCTTTTCACCTTATCGAACAAGCGTGCAGTTGATGTGAATCATTGATTCTGCTGCATTGCCTAGTTACTGCGAGAGACATAAGTTATCTTAGGGCCACCTGTCTTCGGGACGGATGTTCAGCTGCCTGGCAGACACTATATTTAATAACTACCTGACAGCCTGCAATGCCGCTCCTGGCTTTCTCCGGAGGATTTTTTATTATCAGCCCATGTAGTTGAGTTTGTAAGCCGTCTCCTTTGAAGAAAGCTCCCATCCATTATACACCTTCTGAAATCTTAAAGGATTAAAAAGATGACAGTCTCCATCCGTCTTGAAGCATTGGGGCAGTCAGAATGTTTATAGATAACTCCAGGTCTCATTGCCGTGGTCTCTCTTAGTTTCCTCAACTCATTTTCTGGCTGCTTAGGTTTGTGGTGCCCAAGCTGGCGAGGGACATGCAGCGCCGTCTCCCTCTCCAGTTTTATACTCTGCTCATGTTCTGGACACATGAGTGCATTTTACAACAACAGTCTGTTGTTGGGCTCTGTCACCAGTGAAGACCAGATCAGGGACTGACCAGCACCTCCATAAAATGCTGTTTGGGGTTTCTTTGGGATGCTGTTGCTCCTGTGCATACTGATTTCTTCCCTCCATTTCCCCCTACTTTTGCTGTGACCTTCCATAGTGTTATCAGCTCTAATGATATATGGTTTAAATGTGCATTTGATGTGGCTTGGAGGTGAGGGGCAGGAACTTGCCAGAGCACATCTGCCACTGGTGGGAATCATTTGTGCAGGCCACAGACAAGGCAGAAGTCTTTGTGGTGAAGGTGACAGGAGCGCCAGGTGGGAGGAGAAGGATCATAATCCTCTTTTCTGTAATAGAAAGTTACCACTTGAGAAAGCTGTGACTGGGTAAGCAAGCTGTTAGTGAAGAGCCCGTGTTCCTGCCCAGTGTGGCTGCTGTTGTGTGCTGGAGTTGACCTGTTACTCTTCCCAGGATTAAGGGAAGTTAACTTTTTACCAACAAAACATATGAGGCAAGAGCACTGAAAAGCTTTACTTAGGTGTTGGTCTGTTTTGCACGTGACTTAACACGTCCTCAGGAAAGTGCTGCTTCTGTTATTGTGCGGAACTACTAGTTGCTAACAAAATGAGACAGTTAAAGCACAGGTATGGCAGGTCTTGCTTTCTGCAAGGGAGGCAGAAGTTGTGTTTGCATCCAGGCAGCATCTGAAAGTTATGATAGTTACTAATTCTGCTGTCTGCAGTCGTGGAAGCATTGGCAGGGACGAGGCACGGAAAGGACATTTACAGTCTAAACAGCTGGAGAGGGCTGGTCTTGTTGGTGTAATACTGGAGCCAGAAAAACATTTTGTCACACACATCAGAAACATAAATACTCAAAGGATGATTTCAGGTGCATCCTGAAAATCATCTGTACTAATCTTAGGGGGCAAAAGCCAGGCCCATGAGATTGCCCAAACACGCTGCCATTTGCAGGATACACAGGAGTTAATCTTCCTCCAAAAACCACGTATCCCAGCGGCAGGTGACACCAGTGCTTGTCACACTGCAGTTGCAAGCCCGTTCAGGTTCACGTGTGTCTGCCTGCAAAGGAAGCAAATCTCTCATTTTCTTTTCTAAAATGAGAGCAGAATTTTCTGCATTAGCCTGGTCCACCTTGAATTGCAGGGGTGACCAGCTTGTTTCAGCCCGATCTTGCCCTTTGCTCAAGCTCATATAGTCCAGCATGCTCAGCAGTGTTGCTCTTTTCCCGTGAGGTAGCGTGGCACTGTGGCAATGAGCAGTGTCTAGGAAAGGGAAAAAACACCACGAGGGCAGCCTGTGGATGCAGAGACAGATGTGAGAGCATAGAATGGAGCTCTCATGGGAGGGGCATGATTGATGTTCCCTGCGTGCCTGTCATTAATTAGTGTTTCATATAGACTCTAATCAGTCACTTCTGAGCACCCTCTGTCTGGGCCCATAACCTGGGCTGACCCTTTTTAATGTAAACACAGAGTAATGACTGAGAATGCCAGACAGAATTACTTCCTCCTTACTACAGGTGAGCAGCAGCTCAGTGCAAGGTCTCCTCCTGCCTCCTAGTGCCTAGAGAGTCCTTTAGGGGCACTCAGAGAAATCCTGCCCGAAGCTTGCTCGGCTGGTGTTTGGGGTCTTCCCCTGCCTTTGCTGTGTTTAAATCCGGCCTGTGCCTTTGCATCTGGTTCTTGAATGTGATGGCCAGGACCTCTGTGTATGCAAGCAGTCATTTGCCACTGAACTAAACAGGGACCTTGTTCTCACAGGTGCGACACACCCAGCCACGACACCTTTTGGTCCTTCACCTCATCACAGCAGTTTCCTGCCTACTAACCACTTGGCAGGTAAGTGTAAGTAAACCCTGCCTTCACCTTTATACCTCTGACCCATTCCTGGCTCTCCTGTGTGGTCCTGCCCTGAGGCACTGTAGCACTAGGGGAGGGAGAGGCTTAAACTGTCTCAGGAAGCAGAAGGTAGCTAGGAAGTCCTCCCACCCACGCCAGTCTCTGCTGTCCTCCAAAGGAGAGGATTAGCAGAACCTCTTCTGCAAGAGAAGAGGGCATTGCAGAGCAGGCAAGTCTGTCACAGCAGGACACTGCACAGCAGCTCAGATGTGACCTATAGAGCCCTTCTGTGCGACTGAATGTGCCCAAGCAAATGGGGGAAATCTGTGCAAAGGCACCTCAAACAAGCCACTGCTTAAAATGGGCTCCTCCCGTACTGTTTCCCACCTGTGAAAGTTCTTGGCTAGGTTCTTGGACAGAGTTCAGTTAACAGTTCCTGGCAAATAGCTGTTCTGCACATCTTGCCAGCCTTTCAGTTTCCTAATTGGCAGTAAGTAGAGCCTGATTTTCTCAAATTTCCTCATTTTAGAAGCTCACAAGCAGCTCATTGCCAATTAAAGTTCAAGCTCTGTTGATTAATGTTTTAGTAACACTCATCCAATCAGTAAATGTGGCATGCCACATGACCTAGTAGACTTTTATTCTGTTACAGATACCCAGATTTACATCAATTCCTGAACATTCTGTCAAAATTAACAATATCTCTACAGAGTCACTCAGCTACTTAATATCAAAGGGGAATGGCAAGAACAGCTATCTAAAAATAAGTAAAGAAGCAAATAGCTGTTAGCTTAAAGATGCAAGCCATTTGTGCTATTTTCCTTGATATTTTAAATATAAGAATATCTGTGAGGAAGTGAAGAGCAGCACACCTCCTGTAACACAGCAAGGTGAAGACTTCGAAGGGACAGTCAGAAAGCCAGTGGGCAGAAGGAGGAGTTATTTAGGGATGACCAGGAGGAAAGAAAACAAGTACACTGGTACAGTTTAACCCACAGTCATCTCTGGAGTGCAGAAACCTGAGTTGGGCTATCTGCTCAGAGAGGAACATCTTCTGATGATGAGTGCCTTTAATAAGGGGGAAAAGAAGGGGCTGGGGGGGGAGGCAGGACTTTTTGTAAAAGACAAGTGCCAGTGGCCAAGTAGTCAGACACTTGACTGGGAAAGGCAAGATTCATCTTTTGCCCCAAAGGATACAAACCTCCATCCCTTTGTCACAGTAGCTCCTAAGACTGCCCTATCATTTTCACCACCACTGGGATCAAGGAAGCATTTATGGGAGAGGATTTTGGCACAAAGAGGCCAAAGTTGGTGTGAGGATGGATGTCCATAGCAGGCAGTTTAGGACTGTCTCTATGCACTGTTACAGAGAGGGCAGCAAGTTGTGTACAGAAACAAGAGTGAAACGATGCATTCCCTCAGTATGCTGACCAAGGAGCCTGCTGAGGTTCTTCTTTCAAGGCAGTTGCAATCCTTCTACTATTAGTAGAAGTGTAAGGAAGGAGAGTTACAGCTCAGCAGCAGCAACCCTAATTTCAGCTATTAGACCCTAATTTCTAGCTCCCTTCTGACTGGCATACAAAAGTTTATTACAGCACCTGTTTGCAGGGTGAGCACTGAATCCCTTCTCCATTTTAACGTGATGGGAATTTTCTGTGCAAAGAACCTTGCAATGAGAAGGATCAGCTTAAAGTCTGGCTTAATCCTGCTTGGATTCAGACCGTTAAGAAGGGGAGGGGTGCATTTCATTCTCCAACATTCTTGGCTAAATGCCTGCTAAATCCCTGTTTGCCTTTCCAGATCCATTTAGCAGGTCAAGCACCTTCAGCGGCCTTGGGAACTTAGGCAGCAATGCCTTTGGAGGATTAGGCAGTCATGCTCTGAGTAAGTACTGGCTGGGTTACTGCAGACAAACATCCCTTCCAGAAAAGCCACATGCTAATATTTACAGCAGCTGGTGGTAGTTTTTAAAGTAATTCCTAACCTCCATTCTCCTATCTGAAAACACTGCACCTAAGATTTCCAGGTCTCTGCGGTGGGAGCTTTTCTGCGTGTCACAGACATCACTAGCTGTGCTCGGTGTCTCCTCACTGCTGAAGGTTGGTACTTTGCGTGCTCCTAGAGGTGCTAGAGCTGCAAGACCCCACTGAGCTCTGGGTCTCTATGGGCATCTAAAGTACCACCCTTCAACGGCGAAGATGTGCAGTGGAACAGCTATTGATAATTTTCCTAAATTAGTGTGTAGACTCCCTCTGTAACCATTGTCTGAAGTTAAAATTACCTGTATAAAATGATTTTACTTCAAAAACATATTACCTGTAGGTGAAACTTGCTTGAGAGCCACACATAAAGAGAGCATGCTTTTGCATCTCGTGGTGCAACAGGAATAGTTTAAGATTGATGGAGGAAAATCAAGTGACTGTTCTAAAAAGCCTACAGCCAAGTTCTGTTTTTATACACACACACATACCACTTTCTTTAACAAAAAAGTCCCTGAATCCTCAGCTGTAGGCAGCTGATTGCTTGTAACTATCCACAAATGAGTTTCTGCCAGTGAGGGGAGCTGAGGAAGAATATTGCTTTTGTGCTAGAACCCTTGCCAGGGTGGGGGGAGAAGAGGAGCTGGGCATTTTCAGTCATCTCTGAGTTACTCAGATGTGTAGTTAAAGCTTCCTCTGCCAGTAGTCCTAAAAGAGCTGGTGGATCTTACACCCAGTGTTGTAGGTATCTGTGTCCACCTGCTAGGAGCTCCCCCTCACTGTTAGCTCCACATTAAAAAGTCTTGAAAGGACAGTTCTGGTTTTGATTAGCATTGTGCAAAATGTGTATGTAATTGTTTAGTTTGAATTACTTTTAACTTCCCTCTCCCTGCCGTTATTCTAGCTCACAACAACATTTTTACTCACAAAGACAGCCCAAACCTGCAGAATTTCAATAATCCCCATGAGCCATGGAATAGGCTCCATCGGACCCCACCGTCCTTCCCAACACCTCCACAGTGGCCCAAACCCACCGATTCTGAGCGAAGCTCCTCAGTGACAAACCATGACAGAGACAGAGAGCGGGAGCGAGAGCCCGAGAAGAGGGATCTTTCTCTGAGTAAAGATGACAGAGACAAAGAGAGGTAAGCAGCCTGTGCTTTTGAGTACTTTATTCTAGGCCTCTTTTTCTTCTATATTTTTTCTAATTTTTCTGATCTTAAAATCATCTTAAGAGCAAAATGTTGCGTGCCTTTGAAGCAGCTGATGGCCTCTCCTTCAGATAAGAACAAGTACTAGCAACACAAAAAAAGGTCTTTGCCTTTTGGGATTTCTCCTCTGTGGAAATATGGCAAGCCAGCCCCTGCTAGTAGGTTAATAGCACCAGGCTGAGGAAATGAGCGTGTTGCTCTGTTTTCAGGGTATACTTGGCTGTTTCCAATGCAGCTGCTTTAGGATTGTTGTATATTCTGTGATGGGTCCTTTGGAGACAGTCATAGTTCTCATTAATGTACAGATATGCTGATGAATTCAAATGTTAGCTGGACATTAACGAGATAAAAATGCAAATGCCTGTATCTGGAGCATGAATCCATTAGCAAAACTGATTTTAAAAAATTGCATTGTAGACAAACCCTTATTAACAATGACAGGACTTGTATCACCTGGGCTATAGTTACTTCATTAGCTTCCAGTTATATGATTTTGAAGCGGTAAAGCCCTTTGTATTTCAGAGCCTGGTTGTCTCCAACAGGCTACTTCTTTGTAGGCAATAGCAGCCTGCAAGCCTTAGATGAGTATATTTGACTAGTGATAGGGGGTTCCTAGTTTGCCTGGAGTGCTTTTAATGAGCTCTTCAGGCAGTGCCTGTGAGCAAGATTATATGGAAGCAGTAGGCTGAAAATCATCTTGCTTTAAATGTGAAGTTGTCTGACACCCTTGCATGGATAGTCATTCAGATGGAAGTTCCCTTCTTGGCTTTAGTGTAATCCATTTTCAAACCAAGGTTACTTTACTTTCAAGAGCGTTCACACAGGGGTTAACATCTCTATTACATTTCTATTAATTCAGCTTAAGCTGTCCACAGCATCCCTGTTTGGACACGGTTTTAATAAACCACATCCTTGACCAGGAATCAGAACTACTGCAGAGGAAGAAATCTGTGTTAGCAATGTAATCATAAGGGATAAACACTCACAGAACTCCCCAAAACACCTCCAGCTTTCAGCACTCAGATCTTACAGCCCTTGAAAGGAAACCCAGCATAAAACTTAGGCATCAGTGAGCCTCTCAGCTGCATAATGCAGTTCTCTCAATCACACCATCATACTTTGCATTTAAAGTGTCTCTCATTTAGAGACAAGTGCTTTTAAAAGGTGAGCATTATTTATTCCCCTCTTAAAGAGGGGGGAGTAACTGTGACTAATTGCCTTGCTCAGAGATAGAGGTGCAGTTAGAAATGTAAACCCTATACTCATGCTGCTCTTTCTAAACTGTGGATATTGTCATCAAACCCCTTGTTCCTCATAGCAGGTCCTCTTGAAACAGAGGTAAATCACTCAGTTTCATGGCCTATTCAAGGAATTTTTTTCCTTAAGCACCTGGCTTACCTGCCAAAACTGCCAACAACAAAAACTATCCTGCAGCTCCATAGGAAAACAAACATCAGGCTGTGGCTGCTTGCAGTTGACAAGGCTGTCTTGTGAAGGACCTGCATTCATTTCTGTAGGCTTCTGTTTTGTATGCCCAGATCCATATTTTAGGAAAGGAACCTGAGTTAAGAGTGTTACAGCCAAGAAAATCATTGTCTGGCAGCAGGATGTATATATAAACACAAAATAAGCATCTTTCTTTTTAAAAAGAGCTGCCAAGAGTTGTTTCCCTGCATTTCTCAGCGAAGTGGCTGTTCTCTTAAGGTGAATAAGCTGTTCTTTCAAATGCATCCCCAGTTCAGTCCCCAAATTTGTGGACATTCAGCATTTTTTTCTGTAGAGTATGTAAAGGAAGGTAGCACATATATTTATTTTAGTGTAGCATCACAGCTATAGCTGATGCTGGCAGAACTTTCCAAATAATTTTCTGAGCAATCTGGAATTACACAGCTAGATACAGCACTGTGCATGTCCAGCATCACATGTATGCTTGTTCACACAAACACAAGGATGTATGCTCTCTCTTTTTGCAGAGACCTCATGGATAAAAACAGACATTCAAACAGATCCTCACCGGCATCGGCTCCAGTGACACATCAGATAAGCAATCTCATCCGCAGCAACAGCCAAACCTCCAGCGATCCCATCAGGCAGGTTAGCCTCAGTGAAAGGGAAAGGTCCAAAGAACCCGAGCGAGAGCACCCTGACCGGCTGAGAGAGCCGCCCATCGCAGAACACAAGATTAAAGAGAGCCGTTCCCCAGTGAAGGAAACTCCAAGCCATGATAAGAGACCCTCTGAGGACAACACAAAGCCAGTAATCCAGTCTGTATCCCCATACAGCAAACCTGCACTAAGTGAGAGCTTGAAGCTCACTAATCTAATGAGCAAGGACATGGAGAGAAAGACAGAGCTTCCCAGCGACCTCCAGAAGATTAAGAATGACATCAAAGTCAAAGAGGAGAGGAAGGAAGACAGTGACGTGCTGGTGGTAGGGTCTGAGCCTTCACAGCACTCCCGATCAGTGGAGCATCCCCCACCACCTACTTTGCATGGATTATCATTGCCTCACTCAATGGCTGCCTCTATGCCCATCTCCATGGGCAGCGTGCATCAGATGAACAACATGAATGTTCTGGACCGCAGCAGAATGATGACCCCGCTCATGGGCATGAATCCTTTGTCAGGAAGAGAGAGGCTGCCACATCCTGGATTTTCTTGGGACCCAATGAGGGATCCATTGCGAGATGCCTACCGGAGCTTAGACCTGCACCGTCGAATGGACTTCCAGCTCCGGACAGATCCTATCCATAGGTTCCCTACCACCTCTGGGTTTTACGACCATGAGCGTTCTTATAGAGACAGGGAGCCACATGACTATAACCATGAAAACCTTCTTGAAGCCCGCCGAGAGCAGGAGCGGTTGCGGCAAGTGGAGGAAAGAGAGCGCTTGCACTTACGGGAAGAACTTGAGCGTGCCAGAATGCACCACTTGCACTCATCCCCCATCGAAAGTCACCTGGCACACGTGCCATCCTTCATGCCTCATTTAAGCGGGATGCATTACCCCAGACTGAGTCCATCCACTGCCATGCACAATGGGATTTTAAATAGGAACCCACCAACTGCAGCGCTGAGCGCCCCGCCGCCTCTCGTACCAGCGAGCAGCACCAGACCTGCCTCCCCACGCAGGACTACTCCACTCACAAACTCAGAGTCCAGGGACTATTCCCCCTCTAGGAACCCCAAAGAAGTAGAGGCACGATAGTCCCCAACATCGAATTTTAAACATGCCTGTACATAAAACAAACAAACAAACGAAAAAAGAAAAAAAAACAGAGGAAAAAAAAAAACAAAAAACAAACCTTTTACAAAATGCACTGCTGTAAACTTTTTTTTTTTTAAATGTAAAATTTGTAGAAGTTAAGCACATTTCCATAAAAAAACGGGGTTGGGGATGCAGACTTTCCAACAAGAAGGTTGCTGAGAATGGGAATTTAATATATAGGTATTGATTTTTGGTTTTGTTTTTTGTTTCTGTGCTAAAAAAAAAAATGAGTTAAAAATATCAAGTTTGTACATTTTTTCCCAAATGTGAGAAACATTTTTAATGGATTTGTATTTTTTTTAATTTTGTGCTCTTTATTCACTTAAAAAAAAAAGAAGAAATTTTGCTTTTGTTTTTAGTTAAATTTGCATTTTAAAGGCCTCAGATCCTTAAGAAAAAAATACCCAGGGTTTCTTAAAAGTATTATTTATGGAAATACTGTAGTTTTACAGTCCACTGTGAGGTTCCCTTCTGAGGCCAATTGATCACTTACCTTGGTACTTTGGAACCGAAGTTACAGATATATATTAAAATATTAATAATAATAATAATGTACAAAACTGTTTGTTTTTTGCCTTATTATATTATGCAGAAATTTAAGAGGAATTTTTTTTGACTTCTTGTTTTAAACAAAAAAAAAAAAAACAAAGAAAACAAACTGTAAATATTCTGTTAATATAAATGTACACCAATATTAAATTCTTAACATAGGTAGACTTTATAAAAATGGTTTCTAGAACCACTCTGGTTATTTGTTAACATGGTTACAACTCATACTCTTGTCACAGTCAGAAATTCACACTCAGAAAGCTAAGTACGGCATATATACTTCAACTATGCAAGAACTTGGAGGCAGGTCTTAGTGGATGTTGGGGGGAGGAAGGTTTAAAAAAAATAAAAAAACCAACCCAAAAACAACCAACTCGCAACTATGGAGACAGAATGGAAATGGCATGTGAACAGGAAGAAGGATTCTTGTGTTTAACAAAAAAAAAAAAATAGAGAGACTGAATTTTTTTGTACAAACACAAGGGACAGATCGTCAAGGAAAGAGAGAGACACACGCTCCTGGAAGGGAATTTTGGTTTCCTACTTTTCAAGCTGGCAAAAGCAGATGGAACTGGCACAGTACCATGCGGCAGACCCTTTCCTTATTTTTTTTTTTCCTTTTTTTTTTCTCTTTTTTTGTGTTGTGGGCAGGATCGCTGGCAAGCAAGGACAATTTTCCGTGGACCCCTTGTGCTAATTGTGCAGTGTTCTTATTGGAATCTGTATACAAGACAAAGTAGAATTTTAGGAGTGCAAAAAAAAAAAGTCTAATGGTTGATTAAAAAAAAAAAGAAATTCTGATATATTATCTATAGTACATGAAGACCATAAGCAAATGTTTGTTTCAGTGTGGTTCTGCCTTGAACTGCTTTTTGGCATGATTTATTTTTTATTTCCAATTTTACTTTTCATCCATATGTAAATTTTGCCATGTTTTACTTGCTGTACCATCCCCCCTCCCTTATTTTATTTTTCAGTGTCCATGTTTTATATATCCTGGGCTTTTTCTCTCTAGTTAATTCAGTCATCCGCTACTATTTTCTTGGCTCTGTAACTCTTGTTTCCCCCCCCTCCCCATCCTCCCCCCTGCACCCCC